TCTTTATTTACTGTTACTGTTTACCCATTATGTTTAGCTAATATTTCTATTTCGTTTGCTTGCCAACTGATTTTCACACACTCAGAGCTGCAATACATAGTGTCATGTGACTCAGGTAGCTGTGTATTTTCATTTAGTCTACTATTCACATGTGCAATGCTATTGAGTGGTTAATTATCTTCCTTATCGTGTAATTTTAACTGGTATAAACTGCTGCATCTGACAGAACGTAGGCTACTCTGGGTCTTAACAGCATGCAGATGTTTCAAAATACAAGTCAGGTGATATTTTATATCTTGTGTACATGAGGGTTTGCTTTGTGGTTTGGAATCTCTCACCTTATGATAGTTCACTGGCCACAGGAAATCCTATACTAATCCTATAAAAATGTAGGGAATCCAACTAGGCAGATTCAATGCATACTTATTACTGCTTTGAAAGTGCATGTGTAAACATTCAGATGTTTAAACATGTAAATATCAAAACATGTAACCAACAAATGGGTACATAACTAGCTCTATACCCCTCATAAACACCTCTGTGTGCATCAAATGGCATATAAGTCTACTTCTACACTTTACACTTGTTTTTGTCAACAAATCCAATAAAAGGAACAAAAATAAGTAAGTAACATCTATAAATAGTTTCTCAAATAAAGCTACAAAAAATAATTAAAAAAATTAAAAGCCCCCCTTATACAGAATATTCATGTTATATGGTCCTTAACCATAAATAAACTAGCATATTAGTCTGAATACAACATCACCCAGAAAATAGATCAAATATCATTAATGAAACTATAATGGTTGTTTGACAGATATCCTCGCTTCTGCAGTAAGGACATCTAAGATCTAATTTGGCCTCCAGTAACACTGTGAGGAACCTTGGAGTAATTTTTGACCAGGTTATGTCCTTCAATGCACATATTAAACAAATAGGACTGCTTTTTTCCATTTTCAGGATATTTCTAAAATTAGAAATATCCTGACTTAGAGTGACATTGAAAAACTAGTTCATGTATTTATTACTTCTAGGCCAAACTACTGTAATTCATTGTTATCAGGATGTCCTAAAACTCCCCCAAAAGCCTTCAGTTAATCCAAAATGCTGCAGCAAGAGTGCTGACAGGGACTAGAAAGAGACAGTATATTTCTTCTGTTTTGGCTTCACTTCATTGGCTTCCTGTTAAATCCAGAATTGAATTCAAAATCGTGCTCCTCAAATACAAGGTCTTAAATAATCAGGCCCCAGCTTATCTTAATGACCTTGTAGCACAATATCACCCTATTAGAGCACTTTGCTCTCGCACTGCAGGCCTACTTGTTGTTCCTAGAGTATTTAAAAGTAGAATGGGACCCAAAGTCTTCAGTTTTCAGGCCCCTCTTCTGTGGAACCAACTTCCAGTTTGGATTTGGGAGACAGAAACTATCTCTACTTTTAAGATTAGGCTTAAAACTTTCCTTTTTGCTAAAGCATATAGTTAGGGCTGGATCAGGTGACCCTGAATCCTCCCTGAATCCTGCAATTTTCATTTTCAGTTCATAGATTGAAAAGATTTCCTGATATTCTGAACATTTCCTATCCCATCAAAAAAATAAATAAAAATCCCAGCACTTTTTAACTTAATTTCCAGAAAAAATACACTCTTAAAGTACTGTGCAAAAGGCTTAAGCCACTCATTACGTCTTTACATTTAGCTTCAAAGAGGCCAGCTTTATTGTAGTTTTGGTCTTGAGCAATAGTTTGAGAACTGTCAAGAAGATCTTTTAACATTTGTCTTTGATATTGGCTGTCCTTATAGCTGACTTTTGTCAGAGGAAATTTCTTGTTTGTTAAGCCACTTCACACTGACCCATGAATCATTCGAGCCTAAAAAAGATTCCTAACTCTGAAAGAACCAGTATTGTGTCTTAACATGCAGTATATCTCAGAAAAGTGAGTACACCCCTCAAATTTTTGTAAATATTTTAATATATCTTTTCATGGGACAACAATGAAGATATGACGCTTTGATACAATGTAAAGTAGTCAGTGTACAGCTTGAATAACAGTGTAAATTTTCTGTCACCTCAAAATAACTCAACACTCAGCCATTAAAGCCTAAACTGCAGGCAACAAAAGTGAGTACAAATTGATAATGTCTAAATTGTGCCCAATTAGCCATTTTCCATTCTGGTGTCATCTGACTTGTTAGTGTTACAAGGTCTCAGGTGCAAATGTGGAGAAAAAGTATTGAATTTGGTGTAATTTCTGCTACTGTAACAGAAATTTGTTATTTTGTTAATTTATTTATTTCAAACATGTAAACAATATGCAGGCACATTTAGAAAATAAGAGAGAAAAAAATACTACACAAGTCAATACATTTCAATATTGCTATCGTTTTGATTCATTTACATGTTGAACGGGACAAAGGAACAGACAAAGGAAGTGGTCGTAGGCTTACTAAGCTAGCTACAGCAGGTGAACACTATCTGCAAGTCATGTCCTTAAGACTGACCCTTTAGTTAATTCATTTAATGTTCACTGAAATCTCATCATAATGGTCTTGGCGAAAGGGGCGCTGTCAAGAAGCCATTTGTAAAGAAAGGAAACAGGGAAAAAGGCCTAGGAATGGCAAATTAGACTAAGCAGTGGACTGAAAGTCAGTGGAATAGTTCAGGGTGAAGAATAAAGGTTTAATACTAAATACTGACTTTGAATCACATTAGAATTCCACTCATTTTTTGCCTTATGTTCTGTATTTCCATGTATGCTTGGACATGTTTCAGTAGCACCACAGTAAATGTCATGCACATCCACAATTAAAAGTTAAAAAGAAACTAAATAGAAAATATTTGCTATGAAAAACAATGAGTGCTGTTTAAATGATAGAGGGATCCAAGTTTTTACAACTTATTGCAGGATGATGATATTTGAGTTCATGCAGGCTTTATTTGTGCCTCAGCAGGCCTCCGTAGCAATACACACCCTCAAAAGTTTTAGAGTTTCCAATAAAACCCGAGATACAACCAATCCAGAAGCAACTTCAATCTGTGCAATGCGTCGCTTTGGTTTCTGTCCTGAAGAACCAGTTTCATTGAAACGATGTGCAAAAACGGGAAACGGGCTTTGAGGTGCGTGTTCGGCAGATGTGTCACAGAGGTGTTACCCAGTCAGCAACAACAGGCACATATATTCCACCATAATACAAAGGCCATGCACGCAATGGATCAACTTTCAACTGTTGTGAATCCCAACACATGCATTACCAGGACTGTTGTTTCTGTCAGTGCCATCACTGATGACGACCCTAACCCTGACTCTGATCCCACAGTCTATCCTCTCACTTTCATTAGTAACTTTAACCCAGAACTTTAGATGGAGGAGAATAAATTAGAAGTATAATAGACCCTAAAATTTGATTAAACATGTTAAAATAAAAAGAGACCATAAAACAGAATAAAATAAAGGCTAAGAGAAGATAACTGCATGATGACACGAGCTAGCCAGTGTCTTAACTTTGAAACACTGAAATCATCCACCCAGTAGTTGGAGCTTCCCCTGCTCTAACCCTCTCAGGCTCAAAGTAAACTTTTTGTTGCTAATGCACAACCAAGTCCTGCAGTGGTACTTCTGAGTAAAAAAAAACCCTCATAAAATATGTATGTGGGGTAATCAGGTTGTTAGTTTTTAACTGTTGCAAATCTGCAACGCCTGCCTGGAGAGGGTTAATAATCTGGGAACTTAGTACAAAGTGAGAAAATAAATTAACTCTGACTGTTATGAGTTAAAAAAAAAAAAAGTAATTTAAAAAAGAAAAATCAAGTAAAAGAAAACACTCCGATTTGGGAGGAATTTGTAACCAATGATGACGTGGACCTCATGGGGCTGGAAGCCATTTGAAGTGATTATTAAAACAAGGAATGTTCAGTGGAACTCCAAATGGGGCAATGTGCAAATGAAATCCACAGCAAGCATGCTATTTCCTCCTGTCTGATTTTTTTTTGTGTGGAGATATTTTAATCTTGTAAAATCTACCCAGTCACCAGCTGCCTAACCCAACCCTACCATGGAGGATGAGGGGTCGGTATTATCTCAGCCACACTCTGAGCATCCCAGCATATGTTTCCTTGCAGATCAGGACTCATTCAGCTTTTGACCTTACATTTAACTGGGCTAGTGAGCATATACAAAATAAGTTAAGAGTGTTAGCTCCAAACAGTTTATCAGGTCAGATGAATATTACGGAAGAACAACCCTTGTCCTAAATATAAACCACTTAGAACGATTACTTTCTTTGGGCCCTGACTGCCAAGATTTGAAGAAAAGTTTTAAAAAAAAGTCTGACTCCTCAAATGTGATGACCTCACAGTGCTTTTATTAGATCAAACTATGAATCTGTACCCAACACTAATAGATCGATAGATAGGTTTATCAGCATGACGTGGCACATGTATGGCCCACGATCAGAAACCGTCAGAGGTGGCTGTGAAATCCCAGATGCAGTGGATTCAATGGAGGTGTAATGATTTCCGTGACGGAATCGCTGGATCTAATGGTTTCTGACGCAGGGTGCCACCTCACTCTTTCACGCAGCGTGCTTTCCAGTCATTGCTCCTCGAACCTCAGTGCACGCTTTGAGAGATTAATGCAATTATGAGAGGTCTCATGCAAACTATTAGACCCCTTTGCAACTTCAAGTCTGACCAGCAAAAGCACAAATTTTAATAAAACAGCTGGGAGACGCAAAATTCTGCAGTGAGCAGATGATTTGGGTATGATATGCATGAGTGGGAAGCCGACCCCTCACCCTCTTCTATGAAGTTGTTGATTTAAAGGAAACTCAAAACCACAATTTCACACCTAGATCATCGCATCACTCTCTCTCTCTCTGTCTGAGTGCATGTCTATGTCACTCTGCCACTTTGCCTCTCTCTCTCTCGCAGAGTTATAAATAAAAGCTTTCATGACAAGTCAAACAGTTCGCACCAACTTCAGGGTAAGAGAGACACTGTCAGTCAGATCATCAGTCACTCAGTCAGGGAGGACACTGCTCAGCCAGAATCCGTTCTCAAATTGAAAACACTCGGCCCGGATTGGGAATCAAACCGAAGACTCAACTACACTCAGGGGTAATACAAACAGAGACAGGATGGCTACCACAGTGAGGGCAGCAGTCTGTCTGTGCCTCTGGCTTTTTGCCTGTCAGGTCAGAGGATCCCACATCCCAGCAGAGATGAACAGGACCATCCAGAGCCTCTTGCAGCACTATGTAAGTATTCACTGCACTTCAACTGCTACTTAGTACTTGAGTAATACTAGACTGTGCAGCTCTACAGACTTTCTGTTTCCTCCTGTTTGTCACAGTGATGCTCTTACCACAAACACACACACACATGCGCAAAGATGTCTTTTTAAATTTCCACTTAAGTGTGTGGTTAAAGGACCATTTTAACCCACGAGACGCTAAATACTACACACCCAGCCTGGAGCATCTCACATACGAAACTTTATGTGAATGATATCATGTTTCATGTGGTGATGCAGAGGCGAGCAGGGACACTTCCTGGAATGGTGGATTCAAGGATGAGACAGAGTCACATCACAGATGTGGGAGTGTCCTTGAATGCACCATCAAATTTTTCTGCAAAGTACGTGCTCATTGACACCCCCCCCAATTATCATTTCCCCTATTAGCAGCTTGTTTTTGTAATTTGTTTGGTTTTTCATTGCTAGTTGGCAGACGTTCTTAACCATCCTTTAAACTTCATGACAGACAGTCCTTGAAGGCACCAGTAATGATAGAAAGCTCTAAACACAGAAACAGCTGAACTCACGCTGTCTTTTATAACTGCTGTTGGATTATTGGCCTTCTCATGTTTATCGCTGTAAGAAAAAAAAACACTTTTAAACTGTTTTTGTCTTTTTCGGACAAATTTCTCAATTTCTTTACAGTCTCCATATTTGATATCAGACACAGTGTGGCCAACAGGCTTTAAACGCACCATTCGTACCACTTTCTAAAATTTTAATCTTCAGTTATCAGTTTCAGATCAAATTCCAATTTAATCCTGGATCTTTTAGTCCAACAATTATTATATTTCACCTTTTCCTACACTTCTCTTATTGGTCTTTAGTCGGTCCTGAATAGAGCAGCTAACCTGCTAGCAACCGGCTAGCAGGCTTCCCTTCAGTGGCTTCCAGTGAAATTCAGAATCTGTTTTAAAATGCTGTTTATTTATATATGAAGCAAAGTAAATGAGCAGTTGCCCTCTCCAGTCAGCCAATCGGGGTTTTTTTTTTTTAACAACAGCTCGGCTGAATCATTGGTTTCTTTAAAAAACTAAAACTGAAAACCTTTTATAAGTTAGTGATTCCTTGCACCTTATTTTCTGCTCCAGTTCAAATCATGTTTGACAATGTTTGTGAGCTGGGATAAAACCCAATACCGATACCGATTATTCATTATTAATGTCAAACATGATCTGAAAATATCTTCTTTTTTTTTTGTCTTTTGCAGAAAATTTCAAGCCGGGAAAAATATGATGGGAAACCCGTATTTCCTAGTGACCAGAACAAAAAAATTGAGGTAAGATTCATGTGATTAATGGGAGCGCGTAGTTTGTCCACAAAATGTAAAATGTCCATGCAATCCAAAGAAAAGGTTTCTTGTGGCAAATGAGAGTTTTGCTCTAACTATGGCCTTACTATAGCCTCAAATGGACAGGCAGAATTTAGGAAACACACTTGTGGCTTAAGGTCCACGTGGTAAGCATCAAGGTAGCTTAGCCTAAAGCTCAGTATTAATACTGGAAACCATGCTGTATTCCATCCCTACACAAAGAAATGAGGAACTATTTCTATCCATCCACCCAGTGTCTTCAGCATCATCGTCACTAAAGTGGATTTCCAGATGGTGTAAAGATAATAAAACCACCACTTTGACTTTTGCATGTTTATGAAAGAGTGAAGACACTGATTAGTAATCAGGCATCTTTAAAGTTGTTAGCAGGTATATTTCTGAACTCTGGAAAGAGTCAGGATACTCGATGGAGGCAAACCTCCTGTTGAGCTCCTCCATCTTTGGCTAACAGGCACTGCCTGAGTCAGCAGCCAGCTGGTATTTCCAGGTTTTGTCTTTTACATTGAGTTGAGGTTTTTGTGGGGTTTTCCTTCACTTTGCTGGCTCTGCAGGATGCCACCTTTCTGCAGCTATTCTCAGTCTCCCGATCAAACTTTCACTTTTCACCAACATCACTTACAAGGCCGTTTCATGGTTGGTTTCAAGTACTGACATCAAGCCAAGAGAGCACAGACTGAGGAGCTCTGGTCGGCAGTTTTTTATGTCACTCTGTTTGAAGTTCTGTGTGGTTAGATGGCTATGAGGTTCAGGTTAAAGCTTCTGCAAATTTGGAATAAAAAGGAACATTTTTTAAGGATGTATATCTTCTAACTAATTATTAAAAGTCTAACTGATATTATTGTAAAGTAACTGTACTAAAACTGCAATTAAAGCAGTCAACAGCAACAAGAAAAAGGAAAAAATGGAGAAAATTTGAAGCAAAACAATGGAAATTTTGTTGCACTGCCTCTTGAGGAACAGTTAAAGATATTGCTAGTAAAAGAAGAAAAGTATCAGCGCCTTTCTAAAACTGAATGTTCAAGTAGATTTTCTGTGGTCACCACCTCCTATAGCCAGCAATATCTTCCAGCACTCAGAAACATTTTGACAGGTTAGTCATAACAGTTGGAAATTTAAAGTCAAGATGAGTTTCTATTATAGCTTAACACATGGTGGTATGCAGGGGGAAGGCTGTTGTATGGAGGGTGGTATTTTGCATGAACTTTATTGCAACCCACCAGGTTTTCCTATTTAGAGGTTTCTTTACCACCACACCTACCCCAGTGCTGCATTTCATATATTTTAGAGATATCTAATGACTCATCTGAGCTTTAACACCATTTGCCCCCTCTCATTCGAAGGAAACATCTTACATCTTTTAGCCTGCTTCTGTCCGGTCAGTTCATCGTGCTGTTGCCTCTGTCAGGTTTTAAAGCTCTTTAAAAACACTCTTGATGGTGCCACTGAAAGTGTTTTGTCAGGGATCCCACAGCTTTTGTTGCTTCTGACATGAAAGGTTTTTGGTTGTCACCAGAAATTACCACAGATTATTCAACAAGTGTAAGTGAATCGACCAAATTGAAAACAAACACTGGGTCAAACATTGAGCCACAAACTCTCATTTCTTACATCCAAACTAGTAGTTTCGGTCCTGTTAGCAGTGTATGGATATGACATTCAGGTTTAACAGCAGTCAGTGAGTGGTATTCCCCTTTAAGGCCTTCTATGTTAGCTTAACTGTTGTGTGGGAAACCACAGAGTTTTTTCCATTGTGCGAAAAGTTTTTAGCACCTAAGGTTGCAATGTTTGTGAAGCAACCTTTTCCTCACATCTCAGTTTTTCTTCAGGTTTATTTACTACAAATGTATTCTGCGTTGTTTCAGTTTTTTGGCTTTTGGTACCCGAGTCCAAAATGCTGAGGAATGCTGCGAAATTCAGCATTTTGGGCATTTTCAAAGCCATATTTGCACAACCAGATATATTCATATTAAACAAATATAAGCCATTTGTACTTTCATGTCATTACCTCTCTGTTTCTCATTCTCAGACCAAGTTGATCTTCATGGGTGGTGTTTTGGAGTCGTACGAAAAGTTGCTTGGCCACATGTTGAAACAACTGCCCACTCCGAGTCCCCAGATTGCCGTGAGCAACGCGCAACCTGGCTCGGCCATCACCCCTGCGTCCAGCAGCCCCAACAACGCAGGCTTGGTAGCAGGCAGAGATGTCAGATCAGAGCTGAATTACATCCTGAAGAAGGTCCAGGAGCTAAAGAAACGCCGCTACCATGAACAGGAGAAGCTTCTGCAGGGATTGCAGACCCTCAGAGATATCAAGGTAGAGAGCATTCTGATTGCTTCTTGGCTGTGAAAGCCTTAACTTGACTTAGGACTTACGTAAACCCAACAGTGAGGTTTTTGTGAAGTCTATGTTGAGGATTGTACAGTGATTAAGAGGAGCTCACAATAAGCCTCAGGATGGGTTGAGCAGCCCATATGAATGGCTTATGTAAAGCCTGAAAAGTTAGACTTGAAAAGATTTGACCAACCTTATTGAGGGCTTATATAAGTCCTAAATTCATACTTACGGACAAATGCTTTGGTCCTACAAATGGATGTTCAGCTTACCCTCTGAACATCCAGAGCAAGTCCCTGGCTGCCCATCCGGGATTTTGTTTTAGTGAAAAACAGGCAGATTTTGAGGATTTCAGATCATGTCTCATTCATTTTGGCAATACAGTTTTTGTGTTAAAGACTTTTGCATTTGGTTTAAAACAGACAAAAAGAGAGAACTCATGCCCTAACCTTAGATTAGTCATCAGTGACCTGCAGGATATTACGAGGTTTAATAACGCATCCACAAAGGATTTAAATAGAAACTAGGAAAAGAAAAGGCAGAGAGAAAGTTTGGGGCCTAGGTGAGACTAGAAATAAGGTTTTATTTAGGGCTTAAAATAATGTGTTTTTTGCAGGTCTTAAATTTGTGATGCTTACACCAGGGGACGATGTGCCTTAGTTATTCTAAAAGCTCACAAAGGTCTTACATTATTTAAGGGTTTTAAATGTTGATGTCATTGTGCTGAATCTTAACAAAGGTCCTCTCTGTAACCGTGTGATCGTCATCATTAATGTCAAACTTGCCTTTGTCTCTCTCTCTCCTGTAGATGAACGACCGCATCATCCAGAGCAAAGCACTTTGGCAGCTGCCACAGCTGTACGAAGAGGCGAGCTCGCTCCCCGAAATCAAGATCCAGAGGAGACGCAGACGGCGGAGGCAAACAAAGGCTAAAGATCGCACCAGAGCCTAAAAGGCGACCTAAAGGGCATAAAGAGAAATAACAGTAAAACAAGGATGCAGGATGTTTAAATTATACAAAACCAAAAGATTCTCAGACTGAAACCAGTGTGTCTAGTTGTTAGAATTTTGTATTCTATTTTCATCTATATTTATATTTAAATTAACAGTGAACCAGCAGCCTAAGCCTTATAAGATCGTAGTCTCGGAAAAATATTTTTATATAATGTTTGGTGTGTGATACTTGAAACCAGCATAAAAGTTTGATCCTGTGGAATATTTTCACTGAAGGATCCAGAGATTATACCTAATTGTTTTCAACATGGAGTTTCACCCAGTGGAAATACTTGATTTAATGTTGTTGTTTTTTCTCGGCTTTAAAAACTTCATATTATTAAAAACCCACAAAACAAAGATATGTTTAATTGTGGTTAAAGTTTATTTTTTACTGAATATTTTGTAAATTTAGGTTATTTCTTTCTTGTATTTTGTTTTAAGTTAAAAAACCCTGAATTCTTTCTGAGTGAAACTCCCTCTTGTTGCACTGAGATTGGACTGTGGTGGAGAAATGGGCGGTTCCACTGATAATTACTGATAGGTAGTTTTCCAGATTTATCACATTTTGTTGAGGAATTACATTTATGCAAAGTAAATGTGTGAAATCCCGTTTATGTGACAAATTTAACGAAGTTTTCACATAATTGTATTCTATAAGTTGATTTTTTTTGTCTCAATGGGAACCCTGACCTAGCTTCTCCACTGCAGTGCCAATGAGAGCTGATGGTGATGATGTTTACAGTACAAAGTACTTCAGTGTACTACTAATCCTCTGAACAGTCAGGTTCAGTACTGTAGTATTAAAGTAGTATTAAATTTCTTTGTAGTTGAAGTACTAAAACCTTCAGGATGTTTTGTTTTTATTTTTACTGACATATTGTAGTTTTCTTTATTTATTTTGTATTTAAGTTGTTGATTGTTGATTATTTATTATTAATTTATTGATTGGCAAATGCACCTGAATAAAACAGAATGACGCTGATTATGGCTTATGTGCAGTCTCTTATAGATTTAAGATCTTGGTTGTAAAGATTTTGGTTTTGGTTTTCCAAAAAAAGCATTTCCCGCACCTGGATGTAAAACATCATGAGGAAGGAAAGTTGTGATGGAGAATTTATAGGAACAAGCTCAGAGAATCATGAGTCATGACTTTTAATCCACTGATTCCTGTTGCTGAACACAAATCTTTACTTTGTTATTATTTTGCCCCTGAACATGACTTTTTATCAGTGGAGAGGAGGCGGAGGAGCGAGTCGCCTCATGCCACAGAGCTAAAGTCATGCATGTCTCAGTTTTTTGCACATCATTTGTTTGAAGTTTAAACACCAAACCAGGTTAGCTCACTGCCCATTTTCTCTGCATATATATGTATGTATATATGTATATATATATATGTATATATATATATATATGCAGAGAAAATGGGCAGTGAGCTAACCTGGTTTGGTGTTTAAACTGAACCGTTCGATACAGTGCTTTCTGTTCGGTACGTATATGTATCGAACAATACAAAATTTTTAATTTATTTTATCAACTTTCCTTCTGACGATGCTGTCTGTGTTGAGCGCTCAGTGGATCTGCGCTCGACAGTGCAGCCTAGGCGGAGTAGTCGAACGCAGATTCACTGAGCGCAGGGCAAGCTAGCGAGACAGAAGTTAAGCTCTCCTTGCAACATGGCAAATTGAACCTCCCTCACCCTCATTCAGATCTGCCGTTTGGAACTATTTTGGTTTTCATGTGACGTATGACCCACGCAATGCTCAGTTTATTACAGAAAAAATGGCTCTTTCCAAAATAAAAGCTATACTATACGCTTCTTCTGGACTATTTTCTCAGCAGCATATTAAACATATCAGGTCCCCATAAGGAGAATCAGGTGCTAACGGCTGTCTAAATGACTCGGGTAAAGTTTGTATCAAGCATGCTTGTTGTTTTTGTCTGCTTCCACTTGTCTTTGCACTAGGATGATGTCGGCGTAAATGTGCAGTCATATTCATTTTGTTCCCACTAGTGCTGTCACTCGTTAAAATGACATTAATGCCATAACGCGGCAAATCTCCATTAATGAGTTACCGCGGATCGCTCGGTGCGTGGGGCTGGACAGCGTCAACACGTTAACAAGGTAACAGCGCTAACGCACTAGTTCCCACCAATTGAGCATTGCGTGGAACATCCGACATACTGTTTTACTTTAGTCCATGACGCGCTTACCATCAGGGTCATACTTCACATGAAAACCAAAATAGTTCCAAACGCCAGATCTTGCATGAGGGTGGGGGAGGTTCAATTTCGGGTAGCGTTGAGGCAGTTGCCATGTCACAACTAGCTTAGCTTCTGTCTTGCTAGCTTGCGCTGCGCTCAGTGGATCTGCGCTCGACAGTGCAGCCTAGGCGGAGTAGTCAAACACAGATCCACTGAGCGCTCAACACAGACAGCATCGTCAGAAGAAAAGTTGATAAAATAAATAAAACATTTTGTATTGTTCGATACATATGCGTACCGAACCGAAAGCACTGTATATATTAGGGGTGCAACGATACTCGTATCGATATTGAACCGTTCGATACAGTGCTTTCGGTTCGGTACACATATGTATCGAACAATACAAAATTTTTAATTTATTAATTTAATTTATATTTCATATATATATGAAATATATGACCTATTTAAATGCATTACTTTCACATTTGTATTCTCTGATACGAAACAATAAGATGAACACAAAATGACTGATTCATTCGTTTTGTGACGACTTAATGAACTTTTGTGAGACTGGCGTGCCTGCCCACAGACAGACCAATCTTCAAAAAAAGAAGTTTCATTTTCAATGGCAGGTGGTAACTTCTGCAAAGTAAAATGAAATGTTTGTCACGTTGATGTTGCTCTTCATATCCTCTTACATCATCTCTTTCTGGTGCACAGATGATTCCATGTAACTCCTACTTTTGACGAAAAGCGTGGAAGGCCCAGGTCAGCTGCATCAGCTAATAATTGCCGCGACATCAAGAATAAATTAAGAGGAAATGAAGCCAAAAAATTCTGTTCCAGTTTTGAGTTTATGAAATCTGTTTGGTAGCTTTTAGTTTTGTTTTATAAGTTTTATTTACTCAGTTTAACAAGCCTTTTGTTCTGGTTGTGTGTATTTATAGAGTTTATCCATCCCCAATGTTTAGCTCGTGTTTCTACACTGAACAAAAATATAAACGCAACACTTTTGTTTTTGCTCCCATTCCCCATGGGATGGACGTAGAGACCTAAAATTCATTCCAGATACACAATATAACCATCCCTCCCAAACAGTGGTCACAAATCAGTCCAAATGTGTGGTAGTGGGCACATCTGCTATATTGAGATAATCCATCCCACCTCACAGGTGTGCCACATCAGGATGCTGATCTGACATCATGAGTAGTGCACAGGTGTACCTCAGACTGCCCACAACAAAAGGCCACCCTGGAATGTGCAGTTTTTTGCGCTATTGGGGGTCTGGGGACCCAGAACCGGTCAGTATCTGGTGTGACCACCATTTGCCTCATGCAGTGCAACACATCGTCGCATGGAGTCTATCAGATTGTCAATTGTGGCCTGTGGAATGTTGGTCCACTCCACTTCAATGGCTGTGCGAGGTTGTTGGATATTCGTGGGAACTGGTACACGCTGTCGTATACGCCGGTCAAGCACATCCCGAACATGCTCAATGGGTGACATGTCCGGTGAGTATGCTGGCCATGCAAGAACTGGGACATTCTCAGCTGCCATCTGCCCTGAACAATGTGAACCATGATTCATCCGTGAAGCGCACACCTCTCCAACGTGCCAGACGCCATCGAATGTGAGCATTTGCCCACACAAGTCTGTTACGGCGACGAGCTGGAGTCAGGTCAAGACCCGATGAGGACGACGGGCATGCAGTTGAGAGTCCCTGAGACGGTTTCTGACAGTTTGTGCAGAAATTGTTTGGTTGTGCAAACCAATTGTTCCAGCAGCTGTCTAGGTGGCTGGTCTCAGACGATCTTGGAGGTGAACCTGCTGGATGTGGAGGTCCTGGGCTGGTGTGGTTACACGAGGTCTGCGGTTGTGAGGCCGGTTGGATGTGCTGCCATATTCTCTGAAACGCCTGTGGAGACGGCTTATGGTTGAGAAATGAACATTCAATGCACGGGCGACAGATCTGGTTGACATTCCTGCTGTCAGCATGCCAATTGCACGCTCCCTCATTGCTTGTGGCATCTGTGGCATTTTGCTGTGAGACAAAACTGCACATTCCAGGGTGGCCTTTTGTTGTGGGCAGTCTGAGGTACACCTGTGCACTACTCATGATGTCAGATCAGCATCCTGATGTGGCACACCTGTGAGGTGGGATGGATTATCTCAATATAGCAGATGTGCCCACTACCACACATTTGGACTGATTTGTGACCACTGTTTGGGAGGGATGGTTATATTGTGTATCTGGAATGAATTTTAGGTCTCTACGTCCATCCCATGGGGAATGGGAGCAAAAACAAAAGTGTTGCGTTTATATTTTTGTTCAGTGTATATTGCCATTTACAGTCCCGGTTATGTTTCAGTTCCAGTTTGTGGTTATGGAGTTTTATTTAGTCCTCTCCTTCTCATCCTCCTGTGAGTCCCCCTCTCGTTGAATTCTCTTATTTTTTTGGTGATGTTTTTCTTTCCGTTTCCTGTTTTATTTTGGTACCTCAGGTGTTTTTGTCATGGTCCTGCGGCCATGACTGAGTGACTTTGTGTTTGTGTCCCTTATTGTTATTACTTTCATTATTATTCATGGCTGTTTTGGGATGGTTTGTGTTTTGGGATTTTAGATACTGGGTTCTGGGTTTGTGCTCTCTCTATTGGTCCCTGGTGTTAGTATTCCCCTGTCTCGTCAGGTTAATCAGGTCCAGCTGTGTCCCCCACCTGTGTGTGATTTCCCAGTGTCTCTCTGTGTACTTATAGTGTGTGTTTTCCTCTGTTCCTCGTCGCGTCGTCTGTGTTCATACTCTGTGAAATCCCCTGCGTGCTCTCCCTGCTGTTCTCCCTTCATGTTCAGGTTTGCTACTCCTTGGTGTAGTTTCTCCCAGTTTAGTTCATCCTTAGTTCTGTTTTGCCATCTCCACTTTATGTTTGGTATTGTTAATAAATCGCCCTCACGTCTAAATAAGTACTGCATTTGAGTCCTCCTTTCCACTCCTCACACGGCCACTGACCCGAACCGTGACGGTACGACGTGACCACAAGATGGACCCAGCAGCGCTTAATCCGTCTAAGGAGCTACGGGAGAATCTCATCGATGCCACACAGGAGCTCATCGACCTGTGGCTG